AAGCAACCTACAGATTCAATGCAATTCCTATTAAAATACCAACAGCATATTTTACAGATTTGAACTAATACTCCAAAAATTTACATGGAACCAAAAAGACCCCAAAAAGCTACAGCAATCTTGAGAAAGAAGAACAAAGTTGGAGGAATCACAACACCAGATATACTATAATACAAAGCAAATGTAATCAAAACACCTTGGTACTGGCACAAGAACAGACATATAGATCAATGGAACAGAACAGAGAACCATGAAATTGACCCAAACCACTATGCTCAATTTAGAAGTTGACGTTTTGAAATTACATTACTGAGATAGCCTTTGAAATTCACAGTTGAAGTCACATACTGATAAATAACAATTATAAACAGGGCTGCTTTTCTACATGATCTCATTTTACAAGTATTAACCCAATTTACATTAAGGGAATAGGCTCAGCAGCCCTCTTCCAGCTATGGAACTCAATTCTCTGACTCTACAGAAGCCTCCTTGTTGAAACCTTTAATAGTTAGTAAATCCTTCACCTTTATTCCTCAGTGTAGTAACTACAGTATCTGCTTTCTCTGGGCTCAGTCACAAAGCACTACTGAATCCACTATAAATCCATGCAATCTGACTGCAATTAGACTCTCACTGATGTTTTTCCTGCCTCACAGGTTTAATGCCTTTCAATCTTCTTGATCACCCTATCCTTTCCCACTTGTTTTCAATAATCAAATCCTATCAAATTCCCCTTTGTAACTTCTCTCACATCTGTCTTCTTTTCCATCCAGAAGTCCAAATCCCTGGTTATGTCATGAGCCAAAATGATTTGAGCCTAATCTGGTCTCTTTTCTCATTCTACCCTGAATTCTATCATGAGACCACTCTAAATAGACTCAGTCTTCCAAAAAGAATTTTTGGATTATGTCATTTTCAGAATCTTTCAGTTTGTTGCCTATGGCCATAGGACAAAGACAGCATTGGCACACAGGGCACTCTGTGCTTTTGTCCAAAGCTATTTTTAATTCCTGCACAACATAAACTTTCTGATCTGGCCAAACCAGCCAATGGCTGATCTTGCAGAGGCTCTTTCCTCACTAGCACCTGCCCAGAGTACTCATGAATATCCTCTTCATGTTTGTCTGATGAAATCCTGCCCATGCTTCAGGGCTTTTGTTCTGTTCCCTTTGTGAAGCCTGCCCTGATCAGCCCAGTCTTCCAGACCTCTCCTGCTTCTCAACACGCAGTGCACTCTCATTGGACTCCAGGCATTGATAGTATATTGCCATTTTCCTGTACATTTTAATAGACTGAACACAAGGACTGTCTTTGAATGACTTACAATAAGCACAACATTTTGAATGATCCAAAGTGTCTTAAATATTTCGCTTAGAATATTATGAATGTTGAGCAAAGATTCTCTGAGGCTTTACCACTCTCCTGACCAGTGTTCTTTGGGGACCTCTCACTATTGAAGAGTACTCACATATATCTAGCATTTTATAGCCAAAACTAATGCACACGGATGTGGCCTCTGATATTATTTAGCAGGATAGGTCCAAGCTGGAGGAATATCTGATAATCTGTGACTGCTGGAGACAGCAGTACTGTCAAAAGACTCAAAAAGGGCTTTCCAGAGAGAAAAGACTAGTTTAAAAAAAGAGCTAAATTTAGTTGCTTCCTGAATGTGTTTTCCCAAACAACGTAACTTTTATACCATTGCTCCCCTTTAACCCCCCAGTTAGTGAAGAGTATTGCCAAGAGAAGAAGTAAAAGCAATTAGTAATGGCTTAGAAACCGTTAACACCACTTGGCAGTAGTATATGGAATTCCAGCACCGAGCTCTCAGAACCTAAAAACCCAGCCATCACCCAATGGGTAGTTACTTGTTCTTCTGTTGCCTCTCTGGGTCTGGGGATTAGTAGAAAACAGGTATCTGAGATTCTAGAACATGAAAGCCACAAGGCTAGTAGATTGAGGAGTTATTCAAGCCACTTTTCGTGTAATGGCTAATCTAAGTTGGCCAATTTCTGAGGGCGTACTAAAGAGAAAAGACTACAGTCTATTTTGCCATTAAACTGCCCTTCTTATACTATATTCTCCTTCCTTGTTAATTGCATTCAGAAGAGGAAAGTAAATAGGATCAAGTTTTTAAGAGCCTTTACACTCTGGGCTTCAATGTCCTCATCTGCAAAATGAAAAAATTATAGTAGGTAAGCAAGTAACCAAACACTAACACTGTATGAACCTAGGTTGTTTCTCCACATATTTCAGATAGTGTGCCTTATTCTGATCCTAACATTTAGATAGTGGATCCAATTGGAAAAGTGTCCCCAACACTATATGAATAATATTCAGTAAAACCTGCTTTGAGGCTTATTTATGCCTTGGATCTGAAGCTGAGATAAAAATCACCTATAGAACCCTAACTGGTTTGGCTCAGTGGACAGAGCATCAACCTGTGAACTGAAAGGTCCCAGGTTCAATTCCAGTCAAGGGCATGTACCTTGATTGTGGGCATATCCCCAGTGGGATGTGTGCAAGAGGCAGCTGATCGATGTTTCTCTCTCATTGATGTTTCTAGCTCTCTATCCCTATCTCTTCCTCTCTGTAAAAAAAAAAAAAAAAAAAAAATCAATAAAATATATATTTTTTAAGATCACCTGTAGAAACTGCTCATCAAGATTAACTGTTTGCTGACTCCTTTTCCGACCTAGACTCTGCTAGGCAAAAGGGCTTATTTTCAACTCCTTAGCACTGTTGACACTTTACTGATTCTGTTATTCTCTCCCGGTTAGTTACTTTATTCCAAGGCAGGCTGTCATCTCCCTGAGCTCAGGAATTCCAGGGAAATCACATACTGAATGACCAACCCCCTCAGTCCAGAGAGCTACCAGTAGAGGCAGTAAAAGGAGAGCAGTCAGAGGTAGATGGTTGGCAGTACTACCTGAACTGCTGGATGATAGCTGCCTTTGAAAAACTTAAAACCTGCCGAAACCGGTTTGGCTCAGTGGTAGAGCGTAGGTCTGCGGACTGAAAGGTCCCAGGTTCGATTCTGGTCAAAGGCATGTACATTGGTTTCGGGCACATCCCCGATTGAAGGTGTGCAGGAGGCAGCTGGTGGATGTTTCTCTCTCATCGATGTTTCTAGCTCTCTATCTCTCTCCCTTCCTCTCTGTAAAAAATCAATAAAATATTTTTTAAAAAATAAGAAAAACTTAAAACCTGGCCAGTTAAATTAAGCCTGATTCTGAACTACACTGTTTGCCTTTATATAGGTGGTAAAAATCAAAGGAATTCAGCAAGATACACTCAATGCCACTTAAGGAAACTACCTTAAGTAGTCTAGAGGCACCATAGTAAAGAGTCACCTCCGACGGAGTCTGCTAGTGAAAGATGGAAACAATTTAGGAGTCTTTCTTATTAATAGCTTGACAATCTGCTTTTTTTTTTCTCTCACATGAAAAGTAAGCATAAACTGCTACACTCAGCAAAACCAAATACAACAGATCTCTATAGCTGTCTACAAAAAGCCATGCCAGCCTGGCTGGTGTTGCTCAGTGGTTGAGCGCACACCATGAATATTTCAATTCCTGGTCAGGGCACATGTCTGGGTTGTAGGCTCAATCCCCACTAGGGGCTGTGCAGGAGGAAGCCGACTGATGATTTTCATCATTGATGTTTCTCTCTCTCCCTATCCCGTCCTCTCTCTGAAATCAATAAAAACATTAAAAAAAAAAAAGCCATGCCAGATCTGATTCTTCTCTGTGTAATTAAGCTGTCTCCATAATTCTCTATAAGCATTACTAGAATTCAAAATTTACACTCAAAACCTCAAACCAATTACTCAGTTCCTTTTCTACTTATTAAAATGATTATGATTCCACCTTTAGCTTAAAATCACTTAATAACAATGATTTTCAAACTGTATTCCAAGAAGCCCAGTTAAGAGTGTGATTTGGGAGGAAGGGACAAGGATGAGGTAGACCACTTCTTCCACCACTGCTTTTACATGTTTGAAGACTCTACTGCTAAAAAAACAAAACAAAACAAAACAAAAAAAACCCAAAACTTAAAAAGCACTGGAATAACAGACTAGACTATCTCATATACTACAGTGACATAATCACCAAGGTTCTGTTTTGTTATATGACAATTATGACTAGTCAACTCTCAATGACGAGGGCTGGCAGGAGATGAAGACAGTGTAGCACAAATGTAATTTACCGAAACCCTATTGTTAACCAGTGGTTTCAAACATCTATTTCCAACTGTTTTTTACCACAGCAAATAATTAGTGAAGAAGAGTTGAACTTCTGCTAGAATGTTCAGGCAGTAACAGGGAAGCCAAAGTGAAAATAGACTGGATTTATGTGAATATAGATAGTTGGCCCCTATGCCTTTACATTCTATAAACATCCTATATAATAAACATCCTATATAATAAAACCTTAATATGCAAATCGACTGAACAACAGAACGACTGATGGCTCTGACGCGCACTGACCACCAGGGCAGATGTGCGACGCAGGAGCTGTCCCCAGCCCGTAGGCCCGACCAGCAATGGCAGGAGGTGTGGGGGGACAGCGCCAGGCTGCCAGCCAAGACAGGTGCCAGTGTCCCCCCCCTGCAGAAGGAGGTGCCAGGCCAGCCCAGGTGGGTGCAATAGGGGGCCCCTATTGCCCTGCTGGTCACCCATAGATTGGCCCTGATTGCCTAGGGACCCTACCCATGCATGAATTTTGTGCACTGGCCTCTAGTACTAAATTAACTGCAGAACAGATTCTGCCAGATGCAGGATATATAAATGGATATGTAGAGAAACCAACTCCCCTACAATGGTAGGTAATTATGTTATATTGGCCATAATCCCCAAGAGAAAATAATAATGGCCAAACATCAAGCCACTTTAGTTAATTCCTACTATAAGACTCTGAGTCAGAATCTGGGTCATTCTGCTTCAAGCATAATAGGAAGGGGAGAGCAGCCAGAAGGATGTGGAATCTGGTGCAACTCACCTGTGCAGAACTCCTTGCTCACATTGTGGGGCACTGTGATCCGTCGGTACACTATGGGCTCTGACTCCAGGATGTTCTCATCGTGGCGGTACCGAGCAGGCCTTTCATTTGGAATACCCCTGGAACGGGTACCGCTTCTCCTCTCATATGTATCAATCTCCTCAAACACAGCTGCCTTGTCAAATAGGGCTAGGTTCCCTTCAAAATCAAAATCTGTGTCTGGGATCTCTTCAATATCATCTCCAAAGCACTCGTCATCTTTATTCTTCATTTGGCCATTCTTTAAACCACTTTTCTTTGGAGTTGCCTGGTTTGGGTGCCTGCTACTAGATGACCCTGGAGAAAAAATAGGAACTAAATTCAGTGTGCCCACAGAAAAGTGCTCAATGGAAGTGGAAAATGCATTAGTTTTTTGTGGAGAGTGTTACAGGAATCGAAGTGAAGATGGTAAGCTATTCTTCAATCATATTAAGTAGCACAAACTACCACAAATTTAGTGAATAAAGACTTCATATATTACCCAAGTAATAGTGAACATAAAATAAGCAAAATTGCCCTGGCTGGTGTGGTTCACTTGATTAGAGCATAATACCAAGTTCTAGGTCAGAACACATGCCCAGGTTACGGGTTCAATCCCTGGTCAGGTGTGAATGAAAGGCAGCCAATCAATGTTTCTCTCTCTCCCTCTAGAATCAATAAAAAACATATCTGTAGGTGAAGATTAAATAATAATAACAACAGCAACCAAAGAAAATAAGCAGAACTCCTGGAAGTTTAAACCAGTTCTCTCTTCAGAAGGAAACTGGTAATGACAGAGGCTTTTAAAAACAAATTGTTGTTGTTACAATCCTCTCCTAAGGATATTCTCCCCTCCCCCCCAATTGATTTTTAGAAAGTGGAAGGGAGGGAAGAAGGGAGGGAGGGAGGGACAGACAGACATTGATGTGATTGCAGAGGATTGAACCTGCAATCCAGGTACGTGCCTTTGATGGGGAATCAAACCCACCACCCTACGCAGGATGACACTCCAACTACTGAGCAACAATGGCCAGGGCTTAATATTTTAAAAATTCATTTGAGAGAGATAAAAATATCAATGTGAGAGAAACTTGGTCAGTTGACTCCTGAACATACCCTGTACACTGACTAGGAATCAAACACAACATGGGTATGTGCCCTGACTGGAAATTGAACCTGCCACCTTTCTGTGTGCAGGCCAATGCTCCAACCATCTGAGCCACACAGGCCAGGACTGAGAGAGGCTTTTTTGACAAATGAATATCAAAAAGTGAAAGGGTAAAAATACAGTAGTCTTGGTGGGTTGATTCTGAATGTTAAGTAATTAAGGAAGAGCCGAAACTGGTTCGGCTCAGTGGATAGAGCATTGGCCTGTGGACTCAAGGGTCCCAGGTTGGATTCACGTCAAGGGCATGCACCTTGGTTGCGGGCACATCCCCAGTGGGCGGCGTGCAAGAGGCAGCTGATCAATGATTCTCTCTCATTGATGTTTCTAACTATCCCTCTCCCTTCCTCTCTGTAAAAAATCAAAAATAAAATAGCCAAAACCGGTTTGGCTCAATGGATGGAGCGTCGGCTTGGGGACTGAAGGGACCCGGGTTCGATTCCGGTCAGGGGCGTGTGCCTTGGTTGCGGGCATGTCCCCAGTGGGGGGTGTGCAGGAGGCGGCTGATCCATGACTCTCTCTCATCGATGTTTCTAGCTCTATATCTCTCTCCCTTCCTCTCTGTAAAAAGTCAATAAAATATATATATTTTAAAATAGTATCTTTTTAAAAAAAAATAGTACCTGCCACATTGGAGTATTCCTTCTTAATTACTTTTTAAAAATATATTTTATTGATTTTTAAAAAAATATTTTATTGATTTTGTACAGAGAGGAAGGGAGAGGGATAGTTAGAAACATCAATGAGAGAGAATCATTGATCAGCTGCCTCCTGCACACCTCCTACTGGGGATGTACCCAGAACCAAGGTACATGCCCTTGACTGGAATCGAACCTGGGACCTTTCAGTCCACAAGCCGACACTCTACCCACTGAGAAAAACCGGTTAGGGAGGAAGATACTATTCAACCAGCTCTTAATTCTATCTTACCACACAAGCAACCTTCTAATATTTAATTTGGCACCAGGCTAGAGCCCAGTGGGTTGGAATCCCTGGTTTAGACAGATTTCAGATTCTAAGACAGATATACATTTCCCATTATACATCGTTATCTTTAAATATAATTTTATTGATTTCAAAGAGGAAGGGAGAGGGAGATATAGAAACATCAACAATAAGAATCATCAATCAGCTACTTCCTGCACTCTTCTCCTTGGGGATTGGGCCTGCAGGCTGGGCATATACTCTGACCTGTAACCTCCTTGGTCCATAGGTTAACTTTTTTTTCTTTTTTTAAACAACTTTATTTCAGAGAGGAAGGGAGAGGGAGAGATAAAAACATCAATGATGAGAGAGAATCATTGATTGGCTGCCTCCTGTATGATCACCCTGCAGAGGGAGGCCCAGGTCACCAGCCAGTGGGGTGATCAATCAATCAAAAGGCTTCATGATTGCCCTAAAGAGGGAGGCCTAGGCTACGCTGCGAGTGGGGGCCTCTCTGCGGGGATGATCCATCCTGGAGCCCTGGCTGGCTGGGCAGGGCCTACATCATTAGGGAGATTGATGGTAGAGGCCCTCAATAGATTGCCCCAAAGAGGGAGACCCAGGCTACCTGAGGCAGCAGCGGCTGCAGGTAGGCCAGGTCTCCCTCTGCATGGGGAGATCCATCACAGATCCCCGGCTGGGTGGGTAGGGCCTACCTCTTTGAGGTGATCAATTGCAGGGCTCCCAGACTGTGAGAGGACACAAGCCAGGCTGAGGGACCGCATCCCCCCCCCCCCCAAATGAATGAATTTTGTGCACTGGGCCTTTATATCTATAAAAAGAGCATATAAGGCAAAAGCAAAACCCATTCAATGCAGTACAATGGTAAAAAATGAAATTAGAAAGCAACAGCAAACAACTATTCCTTTTTAAAAAATAAACATTTTGTTAACGTTCATAGTGGATAATGCATAAAATATATAGAAAGTTACAGATAATTCACTTAACATTTTTATATATTTCCATTTAGTTAAAAATATGCATTTTTTTCCTTTTATAAAAAATATATTTTATTGATTTTTTTGCAGAGAGGAAGGGAGAGGGATAGGGTGTTAGAAACATCAATGAGAGAGAAACATTTATCACCTGCCTCCTGCACAGCCCCTACTGGGGATGTGCCCGCAACCAAGGTACATGCCCTTGACCGGAATTGAACCTGGGACCCTTGTGTCTGCAGGCCAACGCTCTATCCACTAAGCCAAACCCATTAAGGCTATGCATTAATCTTATGAAGTTTTGTATCCTGCCTTCTTAGTTAGTATAGCATCATTGTTTCATAAAATATTTCTCCAAATATTTTTTTTGGCTGCATAAATTATAGATACCATATTGATATAGGGTGGGGCAAAAGCAGGGAGTACAGTCATTGATATGGAAAGTAATATAATAATTAATAAACAATAATACATTTCACATAAAACTGTAAACCTACTTTTGCCCACGGCTGTATATACATATGTACTGATGAACTTTTTTTTTAAACATATTTTATTGATTTTTTTACAGAGAGGAAGAGAGGGATAGAGAGATAGAGAGTTAGATACATTGATGAGAGAGAATCATCAATCAGCTGCCTCTTGCACACCCCCTACCGAGGATGTGCCCGCAACCAAGGTATTATACATGCCCTTGACTGGAATTGAACCTCGGACCTTCCAGTCCGCAGGCTGATGCTCTATCCACTGAGCCAAAACAGTTTTGGCATACTGACGAACTTTTAAGGTATTTCTCATTTTTATTGTTATAGACTCAGCCCAAACATATGATCTCTGATAACTCCAGCTGAAAAATCACTCATATTTGACCACCTGTAGCTACACTACTTACTTTGTTCTGTAGTTATCTGTGTTCTTATGCTAACTTTCCAAGCAGCATATAAGCTAACAGAGGGCAGAACCTGTCACACAATACTATTGGTATACCATAAGTATACAAATCTCTACTGAATTTAGGAATGAAAAGAGCCACATCAAAACAAACAATAAAAATTAAAAGTCTAAAAGATTATAAAGAAAAGGCAACTTGAGATTAACTATAAGAAAGAAAGGGAACCAGCAAAAACTATGACAAGTGTGTTATGTGACTGAAAAGTACAGGAAGATGAAGTTGTCGATCTATAATAATAAAAGTGTAATTGCTAATTAGATCTGTCAGCTGAACAACCTTCCAGACATCATTCTGGACATCCTTCTGGATGAAGCGCAGTGGCAGGGAATGAGGCAGAGATGGTTAGGTGCAATGAGGCAAGCCAGGCAGAGTAGTTAGGGGCAATGAGGCAGGCAGGAAAGTGATTAGAGGCAATCAGGCAGGCAGGCAAGCTGTTAGGGGTGATCAGACAGGCAGGCGACTGGTTATGGGCTATCAGGCAGGTGAGTGTTTAGGAGCCAGCAATCCCAGATGGTGAGAAGGATGCCTAGTGAGATCGGGCTTAAACTGACAGTTGGACACCCCCTGAGCGTTCTCGGAATTGCAAGAGGGTGCAAGCCAGGGTCAGGGAAACCTTTCTCCCTCATGCATGAATTTCATGCATCAGGGCTCTAGTCTACACTAACAAAAAAGATGCAATTGACCATACCTTCACGAGTCAGTATGCAAATTAATCCAACAAAGATGGCAGGACGTTTGCATCATCGACATGGTGCCGATGCAGTTCTGCACCACCCTAGCTGCTCTGAGCCTCTGGACAGTGTGCAAGGCAGAAAGGCAGCTCTGGCTGGAGCAAAGGCAGAGAGTTGGCATCCAGGGGAAGGAAGGCCCATTCTTGCACGAATCTTTATGCATCAGGTCTCTAGTAATAATTTAAGAAGGGGTACGTGGCAAGGGCTTCCGAGAAAAGGAATTCAGTCATGTCTAATATGGCCCAACCAACTGGTAATGAGCTATCCTGGACTTATCACAACAACAAATAAAGACAAGCAATTAATCAATGGAGAAAAGCAAGGGTCAAATAGTAAAATGGGAAACCATTTTTGGCTCAGCCCTAAGGACTCCACAAACAAATTGCAACCAACCCCAGAGCTATGTTTTTAGAAAGTGTCAGGTATTTTCTTGTGCTCTCTGCATAAAAATCTCCATTCATTCATTTGACAAATATACACTAAAGACCAACTATATTCTAAATACTGTCAGGGAAGCAGAGAGAGAAAAAAATTTCTAAGAGGAATTACTG